TGGCCAAAACTGGAATGTTACACTTGACCCCTAGACTCAATTATGATACTACACTAGGTGTCAGATCGGATTGTTTTTGATATGCCAATCAGTGAGATCTTTAGAGGGGGTCAAAACCTGGGTATGTTGGAACAGTTCGAGAAATCATCTGAGTGGGTGATCATAGTAACAGGATCAGCCCCTTTGTGGACAAAGTGAATGATCGGGGATGCGCTCTCTCTGATGGAAACCAAAATTGCCAGTTGATTTCAACCATTGAAATTTGTTTTGCGAAATATATTTATATATATATAGTTTCAAAATATTTGCAAAATGTTTTAATTCCCGGGATCCATGTGAGTAGAGAGTGCAACACTGTACCTTGCAGCCGAGGGAGATGTCCTCTTTTGTCGGGTAGTGTTTGATCATTATGGGCTAAGAGGTTAAGTGTAAGACCATTGAGGGTAATACCTGATGGGCTAATCTTGCATATGCCCACAGTCATTGGGTTTTTATAAGGTGGCTTGACCTAATGACCATTTAGTGTAAATGTTGGGCCCATTAAGAGCCCATGGTGATGGACTCAGGGGTTCACTGTCTCATATAGTGAATTCGGCCAGGCCTTGTAACAGAGGCTGGGCTGAACCCATGTGGCTGATGTGTAKATCAATGTTTGGGTCCCACGTCATACAAGGATATCCAACTGAACAGCAGTTTGGAGGGTAAGTGAGCAGATGGACTTAATGGGCCTAAAGCCCAATTCGAACTGGCTTAATGAGATTAATTAAAAAGGGGCGGTTCTGGGATTTAGATCAGCAGATAGGATAAGGGATTGTCCCTATTCATTCGGAGAGTCCAAATCCAAATAGAGATTTGGATAAGGAAACTCGTAATTAGATTAGGAGGGCTGATCTTTATCTGTAGATAAGATAAGGGATTATCCTTATCTCTTAAAGAGAGTCTAGATTCAAATACAAGATTTGGATTAGGAATTTCCTAATGAGATTAGGAGAACCTCTCTTTAAGGCTATAAATAGGAGAGCAGGGCGAAGCCTCAGTACACAACAAAAACCAATCTGACTGCTGAATTCTGAGAGAGACAACACAGTTAGACTGCACTGTCTCTTCATTGGAGGTTATTGTTACTTCGCAACAAGTATAACCCTCTACTCCCCTTTGGTTTCAGATCTGGTTTGGTTTAGGTTCAAGATTGATCATTGAAAATGCAATTTTCTAAAATAGGGAATGTGATTCTCACGTGGGAGAGAGAGAAATTTTTGAAATTTCGCCCAACCTTCCTATAGGGTTCGGCTATCCATATGATGGATCTCTCATCCCTTCACCCGCAACATATCCCAACCGTGTATTTGAAACATCTTCCACTGGCAACTTTGGGAGAGTTAGATGTGCATGAATGTGGGGCGCCTATAGGACACCCTTTGTGGAGGGCAGATGTGATCTCTGACAACGACTACACCCTAACCCCAAACATTCAGGTAGGGTTGAATGGTTGATTCACAAGTCTGATATCATATAGGGTTAATGGTTCAACCACCAAAGTCAATTGGTCTTTGACCAAGTCAATAGACTTTTAGGCTCAGTTTTGGTAGGAGTACAAATACAAATATGTGTTAGACAGTGTATGCCCTTAGCTCCAATTAGCATGATGTGCATCATGACATTTATTGTAAATGAATAATGTACATATTTGATTCATGTTATTGTGGTGTGTTTCTGTGTAATACTTTTAAATTGGACACATATGAGACTCGTGTTAGTTTAAAATCTTCACAGTCGTTAGATAGATCTGGGGAGATTTATCCTGTCAAGGCTGACACTGATGTACTACCAAGTTGGTTGGGGTGTCTTGTCTTAGCTACCAGGGTGAGACTTGAGGTACATGCAGTGTGGGTTTTCTTGAAACCCTGAACCGGACCAAAATTCTAGTATTGCCCTGGACCTTGGAGATAGATGGGCAAAACTGAAATGTTACACCTGACCCCTAGACTCGATTATGATACTGCATTAGGTGTCAGATTGGGCTGTCTTTGATATGCCAATCAGTGAGATCCTTAGAGGGGGTTAAAACCTGGGTATGTTGGGACAGTCCAAGAATTCATCTGAGTGGGTAATCATAGTGATAGGATTAATCCCTTTGTCGGACAAAGTGAATGATCAGAGATGCACTCTCTTTGATGAAAACCTAATCTGTCGACAGTTGATTTCAACCGTTGAAATTTGTTTTTGCAAAATATATATATATATATATATATATGCTTGCAAAAGGTTTTAATTCCTGGGATCCATGTGAGTAGAGAGTGTAGCACTGCACCTTGCAGCCGAGGGAGAGGTCCTCTCTTGTCGGGCAGTGTTTGATCATTATGGGCTGAGAGGTTAAGTGTAAGACCGTTGAGGGTTATATCTGATGGGCTAATCTTGCATTTGCCCACAGTCCTTGGGCCTTCATAAGATGGCTGGACCCAAGGACCATTTAGTGTAAATGTTTGGCCCATTAAGAGCCCATAGTGGTGGACTCAGGGGTTCATTGTATTCAGTAGTGAATTCGGCGAGACCTTGTAATAGTGGTTAGGCTGAACCCTTGTGGCTGATGTGTAGATCGATGATAGGGTCCCACGGCATACAAAGAGAGCCAAGCTAGCCAACATTAAAGTGGAAGTGAGCCTGAAAGTTTAATGGGCCTAAAAGCCCATTTCGAACTGGGCTAATTAGATTAATTAAATGGGGGTGGATCTGAGATTTGGATCAGCAGATAAGATAAGAGATTATCCTTATCCACTTAAAGAGTCCAGATCCAAATAAAGATTTGGATCAAATGAGCTCCTAATTTGATTAAGAAGATTGATCTTTATCTGTAGATAAGATAAAGAATTATCCTTATCACTTAAAGTGTCCAAATCCAAATAAAAGATTTGGATCAGGAAACTCCTAATGAGATTAGGAAATTGTCTCTTTAAGGCTATAAATAAGAGAGCAGGGTGAAACTTGAATTTATACTCACTCAATACAGAGAGAAGACAACTCAGTTAGACTGTTTTTGCCTTCTTCTCTTCTTCTTCATGCTCTTGCCGCCCTACCCTGTTCGATCTCCAGTTCTTGGATTTGATCAAGATTAGATCTTGATATTGTTTCTTGCCAGAAGAAACAATTTAGAAGTTTTGCTCACTGTCCCATTCGATTCTTGCTGAAGAATCACAAGTTCTTGGTGAAGAACTATTTGCCGATCCTGTCTCATCCTAAGCTGTGTCATCTTCAGTGGAGGGATGATTTGGTACACTCTTTGGACGCGAACGCCTACGTTGGGAGGAGCATTCTTGCGTGGATTCTGTATCAGGTATATCCCTCCCTTAATTTGGTTACAAAAACAAACCTTGAAAATGTAATTTAGATTCTAAATTGGGAATAGGATTCTCGGATGGGAATAAAGAAATTTTTGAAATTTCGCTCAACCTTCCTACAGGGTTTGGCCATCCATATGATGAATTTCCCATCCTTTCAATATGTACTATGCAAATACATACAAAATAATACAAAATACAAGGTTTTGTACTCTACAAATTTGTATTTGTACTCCTCCCAAACTGAGCCTTACTAAAAAGATTGGTTTAACCATCCGGTTCCAACAATTAAGGTGGTGTTCGGTGGTGTGGAAGCACCACGAGATACTGTGTTTTCAAACAAGCCACCCCAAAACTATTAGTTCGATTGCACCATGTCGTAGATCAAACCATACTATATCGTGGATTGGTCTACACCATAAGGCAAAATATCATCCATAGTTATTTCTTGTGGACAGTCCATTGCTACCGTGGATATTTATCTCCAATTTGTTTCTATATTTTTTGCACTACTCTATAATGTGTCTTTCTATGCTTCGCACTATTCTCAATATATTACCATTGCATTTAGGGCTCATCACTATGAAGCCTGTGTTTGCTACCTCTCTTTCTCACGTCAGGCACCGTTACTACTCCGAACACTACTAAATCAATAGACCATCAGATTTTTAAGAATGATTTTCAAAATCGGACCGGACCGGATGGTCAGACTGGAAAATCGGGACCCAAAACCAGATTTTTGCCAAAAAAACGTTGATTTGGTTAGTAAACTGCTGACCCAGTTGGTTGAACCGTTCAACAATTTTGTTTGTTTTTATTTTTTTAAAATTTTATTTTTTTGTCAAAGTGGTTAGATCATTCTTGTTCATTGCAGATTCGATCCGACCGGATATGATAGGCAAGAATTTGAATTCAAATCCGACCGGAAAGTCGGATATTCGGATCAGATAGGGTGTGAACCGAATCCAAATATGGATTTCTGATCAGATCCTATTATTCAACTCAAAGATCCAATAGGGGTGATCCGAATTTTGACCAAATCGGATCATAATCCGATCCATTTGCACCCCTACCCTCATTATCTATCGTTGCAACAACTATCGTCACCACTGGTAAGAATTTATGCACCTGCTATTGTTAAATTAACTAGATTTTGTGAGAAACATTCAAAATTTTCCATTACTGTCATATAGTGTGTTAACCCATGTTGTAACTGAGATGCATGGAATCATAACACAAAATGTGGACTGAAATGCAACAATCCTTATAGAACACATACAGAGGTGTGGTGTGGTTCAATCCACACATTTTTATCAACAGTGCAGAACAACTACCTTGTTAGGGGGGGAAGTGTTTTCATCCACACCACACACCACCGAATTTCTCATCTACAATATAGAACACCCCCTAAAATGTCCATATCAGCGTCAAACCCTGGTGTGAAAAGTGGTGACCCGTGATCCAACACAACCCGACCCTAAACGGATCATGGTGTCTAGTTCGGGTCACTAGACACGGGACCCTAACCTGGGTTTTTTTCCCGGATTGGAAGGTGTTGGGTTGACTTTTTTACGGGTTGTGAGAAGTGGGGCTCCCTGCACCTCCCATAAAGGTTGATGGACATGGTTTCTGCTGTTCCTTCGTCTTTCAGATAATAACAAGATCTTTGCATAATTTAAGCTATGTCATTTCTCACCCTCCCACCCAGAAAAATGATAAAACAGAATAAGAAACCCTGTCACACACTCGCGTCCACATTGCAATCAAACAAAAAAAGAGGTAAAAGAAAAAACCAGAGAAATACATGTGAAAGTGAAGCCACCAATATAGCAGGGAAGAAGGGAAAGAGGAGGGGGAAAAAGAATTACATGGGATTGGCCAGCTTGTTGATGACTATTAATGACTGAGTCAGTCAGTAAAGATACACAAGTTAAATGAAGATCAGACCACCATCATTGTCAAGTGTCAACCTCCCAAGATGCGCTTGAGACCTGCTCGTTGCTCGGAAGATAATCTTGTTGGGAACCTCACTTCGAATTTAATCCTCAGGTTGCCCTTCTTTCCTGGCTCCTTTGTTATTGGCATTCCTTCCTCTTCAACCACAAGCTCATATCCTGGGCTCAAAATATCCGATACTGGGATTGCAAGGTCACGACCATCAAGTGTCACAATGTTTACTGTGGTCCCTGACAATGCTTCTGCTAGTGAAACCTTCTGGGTCAGAATGAGATCATTACCATCTCTCTTGTACACATTATGGGGCTTCTCGTCAATCACAAAAACAAGGTCAGCTGGCAGCTGGCTCACCTGTTCATTTCCCTTGTCCGGGAAAGTGATCTTTGTTCCCTTCTTCCATCCAGGCTTCACATCAATTGTTAAGATTTCTGATTCTTGAACAAGCTGTCTGTATGTATATGTATTTTAATTTTTAATAAGAGAAATGACAATCAGCAAAGAGAAACCATATATTTAAACTTTAAGTGCATGAATGAATGTGTGTAAATTGTAAGCCACCATGATCTACTCCCTTAGCAAACCATGCAATTAATGAGTGTTGGGATCTCCTAACCCACCAAAATCTACATTCTGAACATGTTATCAAACATATAACCAACCATGCCATAGCATTGAACTATTATCGATTTTAAACACCACAGAAGCCACAAAAGTAATATTATTAAAATAAAGTTAATAAAAACCAAGTTCTGAACTGATTTCTATGTTACGTGTTTGAGAGCAATGCTGGACTTAAATGAGCAAAGTAGCTCCAATAAATCATATTTTAGTTTGGTGAACTGTAACAATCAAAGAGAAGAAATTGCTCCAGGTTTAATCTAAAATTTTGGTTGAGCTTATAATTTTGATTTCTTTTTACACCCTGTTTCTTTTCTGCCTTTATTTGGTTGTCCCAACCAAGCAGACAAAGTTAGCAACACAGATTTCAAGGGAAAAGATTCAGTCATGCTTTACAAGTCATCTTAGGAAACTCAAATCTGGATAATCATGTATGTTTTTTTTTTGCCCCATATATTTTAGAATTCTCATGATTCCTCTGTTTGTGTTTACCATTATATGAAAAACGGCATCCTACAAAGTTGGTCAAGTAAAAGGGAGATCAGGGCATCTAATGAAATCTTCCAATACACTCCAAATTACCAAGCTTTCATGTTAACCTTGGTGCAAATTACTACGCTATGTTTTGTAATTGTTATACTAGATATCATCTAGAAATGTCAACCATGGTGCAAATACCTCAAAAGGCTAACTTTTTTAGATGAAATGTGGGCTTTCTAACCCTCCTTGGCTTATAGATATTTTAGACAAGGGCCACCTACATATTATTGTTTTCCGTTAGTTAAGTTGTAGTTACCAAAAAGAACATCATTCTTACATGACTAAAGACTCAGATAACTTATGACCAGAATAAATGTTCAGAAAAAAAAATGAAATGATGCTTTTAGAAATATATGACTTTATATTTAAGTTTTGCTGGCCGTGTTTTTAAATATGAAAAATAAGTACATAACCCTGCTCTAGTTGAACGTAAACAACTCAGAAAGGCAATTTTTTAAGACAAGGATACTGAATTCAATACCAGTCCATAACCCTTGAAGTAGCATGTCATCCAAAATCAAAACTAACAGCATGGTTTCACTAAAGCTAAAAATATGCAGAGTTGTTATTGCAAACAAGAACCTAGCCGTAAGAAAGGTCTCCAGCATATCATAATCCAACCAACACAAGAATCTTAAGAAAAGGGGATGCTACGTTTACCATTTGATAGAGATAATTTCTATAATCTGCAAAACACCCTGATAAATATGGCAAAAAATGTAAAAATTTAAGTACTTCATGGAGAGTAATGCCCATACCCATTAACATCGACCACATTTCTAGAGATCTTCATCCTCCTTGTTGACCCAGTGTAGAGCTCCTCAAGGCTGCATGGTAGCTTGCTCTCCACCGGAGGGGGCTTCCGTGGAGTAGTGCCTCCCCCAAAAACATTATCGCTCCCACCAAAACCCCCAAAAACTCCATCTTGGAATCTCATAGGCTTCCCAGGTCCCGTTGAGCCAAACCCAAAAGGGCTGCTCCCAAAGAATTCGGCGAAGATGTCCTCTGCATTTCGGGGATTGAATTTTGAAGAACTTCCATTGGGAAATGGGAATCCACCACCACCGGTACCCGGAGGGGGGGCGCCCTTTAATCCTTCTTCCCCATATTGATCATAGACTGCCCTTTTCTGTGGGTCGCTCAAGACCTGGGGCAAAATGGACAACATATGTATAATCAGAATTCAAATATCGGTCATTGTAAATTATCCGGGAAAACATGTTCCTGCATGTCTGGTTTCAGTAGGTTTAATTGCTTATTCAGCTCAGAAACCTTAAAATCCATAAATAACTAAATAAATAAACCAAGTTATTCCTGTTAAATTAAACCCCCCAATGCCCAAAATGCGTAATGAAAGTGAAAATTTGCAGAAGTAATGAGCTTTTGAAGGAAAAGGAAGAAGGTAAAATGGGAGTGATAGGGAAACTCACTTCGTAGGCTTCGGAGATCTGCTTGAATTTGGCTTCTGCTTCTTTTTTGTTGTTTGGATTCTTGTCCGGATGCCATTTCATGGCTAATTTCCTGTAAGATTTCTTGACATCATCATCAGTTGCATTCTTATTCACCTTCAAGATATCGTAGTAATCGACTCCCATCCCGACTCGGAACAAGAACAATGAGCACCCAGAGAAGATCGCAACGAAACCCCGATACTATTATAACTGTCGGACCTCCAATGACGTTATTCTTCAAAAAGAGATCTTCGATCACAAGTCACAACCGTGATCTCTCCCAATAAAACAAATATTCGGGGATCCTCCAGGACTAATGAATCGAATCCTAACAAAAACAAATTGAACTTTTTTTTTGGGTAGAAAACAGATTGAACTATTGAGAAAGCCAAAAGAAAGGTACCACCATACCCCGCTTTCCCAATACAAAACCTTGAATCTATTCAATTTCTGCCCAATATAAGACCAAATTCCTCATTTCTCTCCGCAAACTTCCTCCAAAAGCACACAAAAATCCCGAGCCACAAAGAATCCCTGAGGTCTCAGCGATTCTTTGAAGCAAAACAATCAGATTATCTAAGAAGCTTTAACAAAAAAGCACCTCTCGAATTATAAACTAGGAACGTATAAATTATAAAACCTTGAAAGCATGCAAATTTGAGATTACAGGAAAAAAAAGAAAGGATTTGATATTCGTAGATTCCCGAATAGGGAAGAAATCCTCCTCAAAATCTCCACAGAGCATGTAAACCGTTTAGAAATCTGTGCAACGGTTTGAGCTGCAAACAAAATAAGAATCCTCCCTGTGTTTGACAGAGTCTTCAATTTGAATCAGCGAATCAGAAAGAAAGAAAGCAGATTCTGGGGCGAAGAAATGAAACGCGAATTGAAAGGGAAAAGCTGGCTTCCCTGTAATAATAAAGCCAGAGAGAGGAGGGAAGGCACGAGGCACGTAACGAACTGGTTATTTATGGGTGTTGGTGTTAAACGTCCAACCGGCTGGTCGGGTTCTGGACTTCTGGTCTTGACTCTTGAATTTTCGCCCCCATTTCCACCGGATACGACCGGTTACATAGGTGAAATTACAAAACTACCCTTTCAAGGGCAACGTATCCGCGGGAAGACGCTGCTCCGTCGACCCGGGGCCCGGGTCGGAACGCGCGAACCAACCGTTTGGAAGGGCTGAGCTGGAGATTCAGTTAGGCTCTGCTGCTTTGAAGCGGATAAGGGCCTGTTTGGTACTTTGTGAGGGTTGAGCTGTTTCAGCTACCTTGAAGTGCTCCGGAATCCGGATAAGCTATTTTACATAGAGATAATAGACTTTTTCTACTTTTTGAAAGAAAAGGTAAGAAAAGAAAGGAAAAAGTAGGGAAATCTATATAATAGACTTTCCCCATATGTTTACATTGTTTGCCATTCTTTATTATTATTATTTTATATGGATGGACCTTCATCACTGAGTTGTTTAATCTGTGTACAGATGTATCCAGCTGATGATTCTCCAGAATCTCCACGTCTTCCAGACACCTTGGACATTGGCGATGTGCCAGATGAAGGTCCATCCATAAGGCTGAAGAATACTAGGGGAAGCCAGCGGATCATCATCTAGTCAATCATCATCTGCCTCCTGGCGCAATCGGGGCAATAAGTGGAAAGATATGGTGAAGAAGGCGTTATCTCTGCTCTTTTTTTTTTTTTTTTCCTGTTTTTGTATGGTGTGGATAAGAAGCAAGAAAAGAGGTCTCTTTCCTCAACAGAGGTGCTGAATATCGATAATGATACATGTTGTAATTTTTCACTGTTTTGTTTATTCTTTCTTTTCTTTCAAGCCTCGTTAACTTTTCGGTAAGTTACTTCTTCCGATAAATCCACCCCTTGTGAGGATTACACTTCTCTCGAATGAAAATGAATGGTTTTTTCTCCCTTTATTCGTTTGATAAATGTTCTTTTGTTTGTATTTGACTTCTTACCAATGCACCTGCAGAGGGCCCGAATAGGGCCTGTTCCATCCTAAAAAGAAGTGAATTGGATAGAAAGTCATTCTCATTGAAAGCAAAAGAAGAAAAAAAAAAGTTTTCCCATAAATTGGGTGGTTGTGAAAGGTGAAGTAGGACCGAAATTGGAAGATCCCATTGGTGAGATGGAGATACTTTGATTGGTGGGGTCCGGAATCTGTGCGCATGATGTGTGCCATTATCTCTTAGTGCCTATTTGAGAGGGAGTGCAGAGCTTCTGGCTTTCCACAGGTGGTTTCCAGGTACCAGGGTTTCATACCGAAAGTCTATCAAGTTATGTAGGGTCCAGATGCCATGGACTCTGGACCGGGCCTAAGTAGATGAGCTTCTCAGGAACGCGGCAGTCAAAGTGGCAATAGAGCAAACCATTTATGGCAAACAGAATGGTCATGCTTCATTTGAGTTTTTGGATCATAACATTGATGATAGAATGGCGGAACATTGTGAAGACTTCAAATTCTGAACTTCTGAAGTGAATTGATGTAAGGTGTATTGTCATTGATCCTGTCTGGTTGCTAAATGCTAACTGCATCAAAGAAAAACAAAAAGAAAGCCAAAATCAGAAGCAAAAATTCCATCTGAAGCTCAAGTTCTCCTTTATGTCGCAGGCAGGGAGCTATTTTGTGTTACTTGATTCTTCATCCCTTGATTAAATCATTCTCATTTCTCTTTAGCATATAACTAGAAAACCGGTGTTGCTATCTGCATACCATTCTCAAAGGTGGGGAAACGTAATAGGCCCACCAATAACATGTTAATTTAATATTATTACCAATAAAATGCAGTTTAGTTACTAATAATTCAGCCACGTCCACAACCGATTATGGAATATAGAGTAGGAAATCACATGGCACACATCATGCGCATAGATTCCGGACCCCACCAATCAAAGTATCTCCATCTCACCAATGGGATCTTCCAATTTTGGTCCTACAACTTTCACAACCACCCAATTTTTGGGAGTACTTTTTTTTTCTTCTTTTGCTTTCAATGAAAATGACTTTCTACCCAATTCACTTGTTTTTAGGATGGAACAGGCCCTATTCGGGCCCTCCGCAGGTGCATTGCAAGAAGTCAAACACAAACAAAAGAACATCAATCAAACGGATAAAGGGAGAAAAAACCATTCACTTTCATTCCAGAGGAGTGTAATCCTCATAAGGGATGGATTTACCCGGGTAAGTAACTTATGGAAAAACGAACGGGCCTAAAAGAAAAGGGAGAATGAACAAAACAGTGAAAAATTACAACATGTATCATTGTCGATATTCAACACCTCAGTTGACCTCTTTTCTTGCTTCTTATCCACACGATACAAAAACAGGAAAAAAAAGAGCAGAGATAACGCCTTCTTCACCATATCTTTCCACTTATTGCCCCGATTGCGTCAGGAGGCAGATGGTGATTGACTAGATGATGATCCGCTGGCTTCCCCTAGTATTCTTCAGCCTTATGGATGGACCTTCATCTGGCACATCGCCAATGTCCAAGGTGTCTGGAAGACGTGGAGATTCTGGAGAATCATCAGCTGGATTCTGTACATAGATTAAACAACTCAGTGATGAAGGTCCATCCATATAAAATAATAATAAAGAATGGCAAACAATTTAAACATATGGGGGAAAAGAAAATCTTGAGCTAAGCTTGAAAATGGAATGGGATTATCTAAATCTGGTTGTTCTAGACCAATTTATGGATTTAGATTGGAGCATTTTGAATTGCCTTACAAAATTCACATGATACAGTTGATTGAAATAAGGCAGGAAAAGATATCAATCTAGAAAAAGATCCAACTATAAAATATAGATTAGCATGTATCCTGGTCAAATAATTAAGTGAAGAGTGCATTTTAAATAAAGCAGAACTAAATATGCCCAGTAGGTTGAGGTTAGAGTTAACAGGATAACATAAAATGTAATGAATACCAATTAGCTGCCTAATCCACCTACAATGTCAATTAAATGGATGGAAATGGTGTGCCTGGTATTATTATTTTTGTTGTTAAAATCTTCTAAGGTTGCTGAGGTGCATCATAATTGCATATTCTTCCAAATCTTGAAACAGATAAATCTCCCACCAGAACAAAGAAAAAAAATGGAAAAAGGACAAATACTGAGTCGAACTAGAGTAACAAAATGGTGATTATCATGCTTTATTGGTTGAAGACATGCATATTCAGGTTCAAGGAACCAAAACACAAAAGAAAGAATTTTTTACAGCTTCCAATGAATTAGAACTAATCAACTTTGCTACTTTCCTAATTCCTATTTGGGAAATTGAAACAGGAGAGCTAGTTTAGAACAGAACTATAGTACCTCAAGTTGGCGGAGCATGTCAACAGAGGCTTCTAGGTCACCTGCATTTGCAGAGTATACATCAGCTAGTGACTGAGCAGATATACTGGGAAACATGGATTGTAGATATGCCAGATCCATCTCATAATCATCATGTGGGTTGTGCTTTTCTGTTGAATAACTGGGACTGCATGACCATGAATCACGAGAACCACCAACCATGTGGCTTTTCTTAGTTAAATCCAGGGAATTGAGTAATTCTTCAATGCCACAAACATTGTAGTCAAGAGAAGTTTTTCCTGGAAACTGGTTCTCTTCTGCATCCTTCTGGTTCTTATGTGCAGACCACACAGCTGTATCACCAGTATTAGAATCATCACTTGTTATCTCAAGAACTTTATTCTCAGCATCCTCTCGTTTGGAGAGTGGTACATATGATGCTGCATAAGGATTCAAAGAAGAATTTCCTGGCTTCATTGTCTCAGCTCATAGAAGAGATTCTCACTGCTCAATCATAATGGAAGCCATCATCATTAGAAGACAAACAGGTAATACACTAATTTAACAAAGAATACAGAGAATCAAAAAGCATAGGAGCTTTGACAAATAAAGCAATAGTCTCAACTATATGAATGTTCTCTGAAGATCCCGGACTACACACAAGTTGGCACATTGACTGCCCAGAATTTCAATTAGCAAAAATTCCTCTTTACTGATCTTCTGGATTTGAATACTGGTATGCATAATAGATAAAGTTACAGGTATGCTAAAAATCATGCTTACTGAGATATCATCCAGATCTCACTGAAGCCCCTCCAGAGGCATGTAAAGCACAGAAATTTTAAGGACCAAAGGAAAAAGGACCATGAAGACCAATCATATAAAGTAATGAAAAGGAGGACTAGAGCCCGCCAGTATAATTAATTATCAATATTCGCTTCCTTCAGAAACCCTGCTAATTTGAATAATGGTGCATATTTAAGATACAGAATAGCTAAAGATGTGCACATGTCATACCTAATAAAGGTGGTGGCAGAATCGCTTGAAAACCCCATCTTATTTATTTATATTTACATGTATGCAATATAAAGTTAAACCACATATATGCTGGTAAAGTAACTGTTTAATTAAGAAGAGTATCAAGGTTGAGTATGTGTAAAGGATGCCACCTGATAAGTCTATCAAGGCTCCAGAATAGATTCATGATTTTTCAAAGAATTTTCAGTCAGAAATAAACTCTAATATTGTGGTAAGAACTTAGAACTAAAAACAAAAACAATGTATTTTAGAAGCAAAAGAGTTCTTCCTATATATCTACCGTACTACAAGTTTACATGCTGTTCTGTCCATCAATACAAATCATATTGACATATACGCATGCACATGTAGACAAAGAGAAACTCTGATGATAAAGTGATTCATAAATTCAAATGAATAATGCTGATATGGGTTGAAAACGCAATTAGCATGTGATCGCATCATCTTGTCTTTCTGCAACAAACCAGCTCTGAAGAAAAAAAGTTGGACAGGAAAAACAAATTTTCAACCTGCTACGCACCCAAGATCAACAAGAATATGATCCATATAGATGAAACATACTTCTCAAGTGAAATTGTACGTGAACAACATGAAATCCAACCAAAAGAAAGCAGAGAACTATATTCTTCGCATCGAAAGGTAATGGTGGCAAAACCAGGAAATTTCGGGAACAGAATCTAACTTTTTGCAACTATCTCCAATTTAAAATGTTAAACCAGACATTAACTTTTAGTAGATTAGGATCTCTTAATAAATAATGGCTGTCAAAAGAAAAAGGCACAAGTGCTCAGAAAATACACTTGCATTCAGAAATACAGGAAAAGAAGAAAGTCAATATAAAATGGTACGATTTTATTATCTCAAAGGAGTTCTTAATATAGCTTACTCCAAAATAGAGCACGAAAAAAATACAGTAATTCAGAACTTGTATTACCGCGGGAAGAACCACAATATCAGAAACAATTATAATTAACTCAAATATATAAAATTAAGTGAATTAATGTCTAGAATTCCAAGAAACCATTAATTTCTCGAGGATTAATCATTTTCTTTCTTACTCTAAAGAATATCAACATCTGTATATAATCAATCATGGAAAAAGAAAAATTCAAGAAAACATCGCACATCAGGCACCAAGAAAATCAAAAGAATGAACAACAGGCACAATAAGGCGCCAAAACCTCCAAGATCAAAAACAGATCAGTCCCTCAATTATGTAAACGTTGGAAAAAGAACAAAAAGAATAAGATAACAAATGAAACAGACGAAGAGGACGTTCGATCAAAGCCTACCTGTACAGGAAGACGAAAAGCTTAAGTCAATCACTATGAAACCCTAGTTTGGCACCGTTTGATCCCGAAAGAACCAAAGATTCGTAAAAGTTCGCAAGAATTATTGGTTGCGTGTCGAAGAATTCAGTTTGGGGAGAGGATGCCGGAGATCACGCCAGGAGAGAGCGAGACTGCAAGAGTTCAAGAAGAGTTACGAGATGCAAAAAAAGTGAGAAAAAGAAGCAGAGAAGAAGATTTGTCGAGGGAAGGATGAATCGAAAAGTGAGATGAAAATAATGGAAGTATCTTTCATTGATGACGCTGATATAGGAGTTGAGACTCAGAAGCTGGTAGATCTATATATATTACAACGAAATTGAAAACCCGAACTTTAATACCAAAAATATCCCTATCCTTTCTACGTTACGACACATAAGTATAATTTTGTAAGGAAGAATCTTAAGGGCATATATGTCATCCAGTTCTTGTGGGACCATTTGTTTGCTTGCTTATCTGAGACACTGAGAATTCGGTTTATCGAATGGTTCTTGTCCAGCGGTCCAAGTGTCCAACCAATTTGATGGTTGGTTATTTGGTGGGCCAGGGCATTAACAAATAACTGTCTATGATTATGGGACTCTCCGGATCCTCGTTAATTTGTAGTCATAAACAACGGTCCAACCAAAGCAAAGACTTGGTCGAGAAGAGGTAGAGCATCAACAAAATGAGCTGTTTTTGGTTTGACTCATGCTATCAAGCGCGAATAAGCTGTCAAATTTGGAACGTAAAATCAGTGTTGTCAAATTTTGGAAAACAAAAAAAACTCGGATTAGACCGGATGGTTGAACCGTCATTTAAGAATCAGCTGTCAAAACAGTTTTTAGGCTGCCTAGTTGACTGGTTCTTAAAATTTAACTAAACTTATTTTGATATAAAATAGCTTTAAAACATAACATAAAACTATTATTATTATTATTATTATTGTTATTGTTGATATTATTATTATTATTCAAACGGTCGAACCGAGAACTAGACGATTTTGTGTTCTGGTCCGAGACTGATAACATTGCCATAAATTAAAGCAGATATGTTGATCTGGATATATAATGGGACCATCAACCAAGAGAGAGAGAGAGCTAGTCAATGGAATTGTGGTTCCATTGACCAATTTAGGTACTTTGTGAAAGTGATACCTTTTTCAGATTTGGGTAAGTTGAGTTTACTAAGTAGAGGATAAATGAAAAAAAAAAAATTAAAATGGTAAAATATGCCCTCACACAAGATGTATTTACCCAGGTAAATTAAAAAAAAATGGGTAAGTGCATTTAAAGTAGGTTCCTAAACAAGACCCAAAACTTATATTTGGTCACTGCACAAAATGGTGTTCACAGTTCGGTTAATTGAGCCCTGAATAGATTTTGAAAATTGAACCGATCCTATTGGTTTTTTAAAATTTTAAATTGAAACTAAATCAAATAAGCCGGTTACTAGTTTTTTGGGTTTTTCTTTTATTTTTATAGTGTTATTAGTATGTGTGTACATGCTTTGAACGTGACAAATTTTGTGATAATGATAGTATATAATATGTTTCCAAAAATTTTCTACAATTTTTTATATTTCTATGTCTATAAAAATTATTCTTATTTGTCACACTTATTATGGTTTATTAATATAGAGATATGCCAAAATGCTTTTATATAATTTATATATTTTTCTATATTTTTGTGTTTTTATCTTTTTAAAATTTTATTATTTACTTACAACTTCACGACTTGACACATTTGACCTGAAATGTTGAATTTATCTACCACCAAATTGGAAAACAATTTCACTTTTGGGTTAACTTTGAGTTTTATTTATATTATCAATAAAATGCTAAAGATAATTCTTGCTTATCGTGTCTAAATTTTAATATGATTAACACAAAAAATTAGAGATGTATCCAAATGTTTTTATATAGTTTATATTTTTTTTCATATTTTTTATATTTTTATCTTTTTTAACTTTATTATTTAATTATGAAATCAATGGTTGACACATATGACCTAAAAGGTTGAACTGTTGACCCGTCACCAAGAAAACAATTTCATTTTTGTGTTGATTTTAAATTTTATATTTTATTTCCAACATCAATAAAACAATTATTAGTTATCACACTTATTTTTCTTTAATATGGTTAATATAAAATATTAGATAGGTGCCTAAATGTTATTTACAAAATTTTGTATATTACATAATATTTTTGTGTTTTTATGTTTTTCCATTTTTTATTCAATTATGATATCAAGGTTTGACACATTTGACTCAAAAGGTTGAATTGTTGACCCGCCACCACAAGAAAAAATTTTATTTTTGAATTTATTTTAAATTTATATTTTACTAGCGGAGACCCATGCGATGCATGAGATTTATCAAGGAAAAGTGAAACAATGAAAGTTGATAATTATATTAATAATTTTAGTAATTTATTATAAAAATAATTTAATAATTTAGATTAAATAATTTCTAACAAAAATAATAAATTATTGTTAATTACTCAATAAATAATTATTTTTTTTCATATTATCTATTAGTGTTTTATTTTATTTATTTTACTTTATTCATCATTAAATGTTATACTTAAACTAATCTATAGATTAACTTTTTTAGTCATAATTAAATTAATCTAAACCCAAGCTCAAGGTTTAAGACTGTGAAACAAAACCTCGTCCCCATCTCCGTCTCCATCCTCAGTTGAGTGTCATTATCAATCCCCATCCTTGCTAAGGCAATATCCATCCTCAGCCCCATCGAGTCGAGGAAGTTGAATATCCGATGGGATGGGGAACATTGCCATCCCTATTCACATTCAAATCCTATTAATTGGTTAATTGTCATAGAATTGTAATTCGAAACCTAATAAATAAAATTGAATTTTAGCAAATTTTATCTAACATCTATTAAAAATTAAGAAATTAATAAAAACTATTAGTTCATAAAATAATAATAAAAAGTCAAACCACTTACATTTCATATAAAAACTATAAAGTTTAATTAAAATATTAAAACTAATAATGACCTAATTATAAATGTCTTAAGACTCCTACTTAGGGATGACCACTTATAACTTAGCCTAAACCTGGCTAAACCAACAAAATTTTGGGCTCAAGCAACTATTTTCTTTTGAGCTAGGTCTAGCTCAAATGTACACCGACCCCACACAATGTAGATAGTAAGATTGTAAATGGTTTGGATTTAGATCAAAACCAACTGCATCTGCATCCGCATTCGATTATGAAATCTAGATCCACATTCGCATTTGACTATTATGTTGGGTTTTGGATCATCTCCACATTTAATATGCAACCATCTTATTGTGTTTAAAATGACAAAAATAAAAATAAAAAAGTTTAAAAAACCAATTATTTTTAAAGTATATATGTATAATAAATGTATATAAATATAAAATATTAATTTATAATTATAAACTTTATATAGTTATACATAATATATATGTATACATAATTATTGGATTCCGATTGCAGTTGTTTGGTTCATTTGGAGCTAGAATTGGAATCAACTAACAATTGTATTAATATTTTATTTTTAATTAATAACATTAATATTTTTATTTTATTATTTATTTATTACTTAGTAGTAATATTATGACAACTAAAATTATTTTTCCTACCCCAAAATATATTGTATTAATATTTTATTTATACATTATTATTATTATATTTAATAATTAATATCTTTATTTTCTATTATTATTTTATTATTAATTTAATAATATTTTATTACTTTATTAATATTAGGGTTTTGGGTGTTTTGTATCATGAGTTCTTTAGTTCTTAAGGGGGCCTAAAATGCCCAAATGTTCTTACATGACCCCATCTCTTTTGTCTCTTAATTGTCTCTCTAACACACACACACACACATTAATATTGTCTCTTAATTGTCTCTCTTTTGTAATATAATCTCTCTCTCTCTCTCTCTCTCTCTCTCTCTCTCCTTATAATAATATAATATCTTGGTAATAGTGCACAACTTTAAATTTTAATGATATATAACTTTGTTAATGGCAATAATTATTATTTTATATTTTTAAAACAAAAGAAAATAAGAAAAATATAAAAAAGGAGAAAATAGATAAATAACTATGCTGATTTTTATAAATACAAATACAATTATTATTTTATATTTTAATAAATGGTTATTTTATTATTTTTTATAATGTTTTTAATTTTAATTATCTTATTAATATTAATTATACTATTTTTTATAAATGGTCATCTATAAGTACAAATTAATACTAATTTTTATCAATTTCTTAAATTTTAATAGTTGTTAGATAAAAACTTGCTAAATTTTAATATTTGTATTAGCTTTGGTAGTTTTTATTAATTATAGTTATTAGGTTTCAAATTATTATTATTATTATTATTATTGTTGTTGTTGTTGTTGTGTATCACATGTTATCGTTTCTAGACAGATCATTTTAGCTTGTCTTCTTCGTATAAGTGATAAAATGGGTCTCTTGTGTAGTCTCAACTCATAAAAATTATTAATTTTAACAATATTATTAATTAATACAAAGTTATACAATAAAATAAAAAAGAAAAAAACAAAATACAACATTATATCAACCCATATTTAAATCATAATATTATTAAAACTATCGAATAATATTTTTCGTATTTAAATTTCTTATTTTTATTAATGTTTATTAAGTTTGATTTTTAAGCGGAATTGAAATGTATTTAAATCACTCTCTCTAATTTTCTTATTATTAAGTTTGATTTTTATTAGTGTTTTTAATTTTTACTAAGTTTTGTTAAAATTTATTAGTTTTAAGTGGCAGTTCAGTGGATTTTTAAATTAATAATTTTAAAATAATATTTTTAATTGTGTTATTTTATGTTTGATTGTTTAACCTTAACCTATTTATATTATTTGACTTATTAATATTTCTTTATTATGTTGTATTACTATTTCCTCTTTCTCTCTCTCTCGAATGTCTTTTCTAAATGTAAAAATAACATGCATTAAAATAAGAGGCCTTGAAAAACTCAAAGGTCTCTCTCTTTGTAATAGTGTGCATTTTTATTAATCTAGTCAAAATAGGCAATGATTACTTTTTTACATTTTAAAACAAAAGAAAATAGGAAAAAATGCAAAAAATAGAAAAAATAAATAAATAATTTCTCTCAAAGGAGAGATATGCTAACATGGACCTTCCAATTTTATCATACTTATTTTTCTTTAATTTGATTAATATACATAAAACATTAGATATGTGCCCAATTTTTTTTTATATTTGTTATTTATTTATATTTTAAAAGTTTTTATTTAATTATGACATCATGGATTAACCCACTTGATCTGCATGGTTGAATTGCTTACTCGCTACCATGATGGAAAAATAGTTCCAATTTTGTGTGAATTTTAAAAAACATGTATTTTACACCGTTAAAAGTATTGGATGTAGATCCAATTGATAGAATTTATTTGTTTTTATTTTGTAAAAAATAATATCTTAATTATAGGATTCAATAAAAGAATGTGAGTTAATACCCTAAGATAAGACTTAATGAGAGGGAATTGAATGAGGAAAAATGTAGAAGTTCAAATTACATTTTGTGCCCTCATAATTAGAGAGGCACTAGGTTCAAAAATAGGGGTATTCTAGACAAGAAAAGGATTCAATGAATGTTAATGGGAGTTAATATTTTAAATAGGAGACTTAATGAGAGGGATTTGAATGAGAAGAAAAGTGATTTTTCAAATTACTTTTCCGTCCTTAAAATTAGACAAAGGGCCTTTTTGCATATTAAATGACCAAGTTTGGTCATTTGACAAAGTCAGTCACGTTTTCAAAATAATTTCAGAACCAAATTGCCCTTCATTTAAAACCCATCCATAAGACCATATTCCTCTTTCCACCCAATCTCTCGTTCTCTCGTTCTCTCGTTTTCTCCCCCTTCTCACTCTCTTCGTCTTCTCATTCTGATGGCTCTTCCTCTCGCTTATGTGAGTTTCCCTCTCTATCTTTGGATGCAAGATTTTCTCTCACATTTGTGAGGTTCTCTATTTTCTTCTTATTGGTATCTCATAGTGAAGTCCTCGTGGATCATTTGGAAGGGAGTCTTTCGTTTTCCAATGGTGCAAAGGAAGTATTAGGAGATGACTTTTGTTTTTGGGGTAGCATCGTTGCGCCCGGGTGTGTGCGGATGGAGTCACTGGGGGTAGCATCGTTGGTGCCTTTTGTTTTCCTTGTGATGCTTTTCTAGTTGCTGCTGTATCCGGAGTCCATAAAGCTGCTATTAGTGTTGGCCAATATTTGATCCGAATTTCAAGCCACTCTTCTCGTGATTGTTTCCAATGCCTTCTTTTCTCTTAATGCCTTCTTTTCTCTTTAAGCCTAATGATGGATATGTTGTGCAATTGTTTTGGTATAGTTGGAAGATTATATGGAATGATAATGGACTGGTTACTGATAGGATTAATTGTTTTATAGTTTCGACAGGGGATGAGTTTGATGCTACTGAATTCGACACTGGAATTGGAGAAGATGACTTTTTTGATAACCTATTTCTTGATGTTTATTTTTTTGCGGACCTTAAACCAGGTGTCACCATACGCGTAGTTTGTGCCTATCTCTTTATTGTAGGAATGAAATAGAACTATTGGGTTCTAGATGCATTTGATAGTGTAAATACTATTAGATCATCTGGGTGATAGATGTTGCAACTATAATTGATAATTCAAAATTATAAGAAGCCATTTGGTCTGTGCTAGATTGTTTCCAAATCTATAAAACACCATTCAATCTCTACTATACCAGATGGCTTGTACACTTGTGAGAATCATATGCAACATTGTGGCCTATTTGGGTTTTAGATGAATTTGAGGGTGTCTATTATTTTATCACCTATGTAATTGATGAATCAAAATTGTAAGCAATCCGACTAGTGTAATGTATCAATCCGACTAGTGTAATGTCGGATTGTAAGCAATCAAAATTGATGGTCTATACATTTGTGAGAATCATATACAACCTTATGAATTTGAAGGTGTAAATACTATTTTATCACCTGAGTGATGGATATTTGCAATTGCAATTGATGATTCAAAACTGCAATGAACCATCTAGACTTGGTGATGCCAAATGGTTTCTAAGTTTGTAAAACACCACCCGATCTACACATATGAGAATTATATAGAACCATGCTGTTTATTGGGTTCTAAATGCATTTGATGGTGTAACTACAAGTAGATCATCTAGGGGAAAGATGTTTGTAAGTATAAGTGATGTTTCAAAATTACAAGGAATCATCCAGTCTGTTTAGTGTCGAATAGTTTTTAAGTTACAATCATCAACTATCCGACATTATACAAGCTTGATGGTTCCTTGCACCTCTAAATTATCAACATTAGTGGTTAATATGTTAATATTGCACATACAATCAAATGTTAGATAGAGCCTTATTGATATTTAACATAAAGCAAGTTGGTTCTTAGCCTGAATCACGACATCTCAATCACGAGCCTTATTGATACAAACTTTGAATCACAACATCTCAATCTTGTTAGTTTTTCATAAACCTGGTTCTTAGTCTTAATCCAGATTCGGTCTTAGAAGCCAATACATAAAAAGAAAGAAAAAAAAAGCACTTGAACAATAGATCAACCTTTGTGTGTGTGTGTGTGTGTGAGAGAGAGAGATGCTTACATGTACGAAGATAAGAGAAGATAGTGACTCTCAAACAATGAAGACAATGAGAAAAGGGAGAGGGGAGAATGAGATTGAAAAAAGAAACATAAACCCGGGTTTCATTGGGCCACTCTTTTCAGTTAAGGTCATTTTGGTCAGAAAAAAATAAAAAACTCTCCTCACTCTTTTTGCAATAAGTTTGAAAGCGTAACGGATTTTGTTAATTTGGCAAACTTTTTTAATTTTCTTACAAAAAGCCCATTAAAAAATTGGGGTAATTTAGTCAAAGTTCCACACCATTATTCACACTTTTAATAATAATATAAATAAGCATTAAATGAAATGTGAAATGACATTTTTTCTATAACTTGTTTTTCGATTATTGAACAAAAGTACTTTTTATGCCTTTTAATCAAATAAACAATACTAAATGAAGATATAAAATAACAAATTTGCCTTTGCTTATTTTCCAATTCAAACTTTAGAGAGAGGCATTTATTGTCCAATGAAAATTCTAGAAACTAGGGAGACCTATTCACACTTTTATAGATGGTATAGATATATAGATAGACAAATCAACTGGTTCAATTAATTAACCTTTTTTAGGTTAACAATTGAATTGATCAATTTGGTTAATAGGATTTAGGAGTGGATTCGAGCCAAGCCAAAAATTGAATGTCTAGCTATTCAAGCTTGTCTCGATAGAAAAATATGAGGCTTGAGTTTGGACTTGAACTCAATAAAAACATGAACTCGAATTGGGTTCAACTCAAACTCATATGTCGAGCTTGGTTCGACTCAAGCTCAATAGTGAGAGTTTCATACAAATTTAAAAGGGGAAATTCCCAACTAGTACCTTGTACTTTGGGCCTAGTGCCACTTTGGTACTTGAACTTTAAAATGCGACAATTCAATACCCGAACTTTCAAAACGTGACAATCCATTACTTGTTGTTAACCAATCCGTTAACCAACTGTTAAGTGACATTTGAAAAGACACAAATGCCCTTCAAGTGTCATCTAATTCTCTTTATCAACCATCCAAACATTGATAAAAAATGAACAATCCCAAATTCTCTCCTCTTCTATTCAATAAAGTTAAGGTCATGTCTCAATGGGTATTCAATAAGAGTTAAGAATTTGGGATTGTTTGTCTTTTATCAATGTTTGGATGGTTGATAAAGAGAATTAGATGACACTTCAAGGGCATGTCTTTTCAAATGCCACTTGAAGGGTAATGGATTGACACGTTTTGAAAGTTCAAGTACTGAATTTTTGCATTTTAAAGATCAAGGACCAAAGTGGCACTAGGCCCAAAGTACAAGGTACCAATTGAGAATTTTCTCAATTAAAAATTTATACATATAAAAATTAAACATTAGGTATAACATAAGCTCGATTAGGCTCACAAGCTTTACAAGCCAAACTTTATTGGACTTAAGATCAGTTTGATTATCAAATGAACCTATATATTAAATTCGAGCTCAGCTCAAAGTTTGATTTAAACCTAACCAAATCAAGCATTTCACAATTCATAAAAGCTCGCTTCGTGTCCACCCCTAATCAGATTTTTTTTCTGTTGTTTCTCAGTTTCTAAATTTTTTATGATCAATCCTACTTGGCAGGCTTATTGTGCATGGCAACCAGTTATGAAACCTCAACAAGGACTGTCGAATCTAAGTGCAGTGCCGGTCATCTAGTTGCAGCGAAGACGGCCCAATGATGAACTAATCCAGAAGCACAATCTTGATTAAGAATCCAAATCACCTGATTAGGGATCATCTTGTTGCACTATATGGGAAAATGAAATCGATTTAACAAGTAGTCATCAAGGCTACCTGCTTTCATCTTTGTACACCCAAGTGGTAAAAACAAAAGATGCCGCCATTATTGGTAAAACGATTTTCCTTAGGGGCAAGGCTTTTCATCCTCCTCTCCAGTTAAGAGACATTTCTATATGAATGAACTTTGACAATGTCATATTTAGAGCAAGTATTTGAATAGCCAAGTGACAAATAACATTAGGGGCTTACAAGCTTAAACTATCTACATGATGCTGATGCTAGAAAGCTGGGCCTTTGATGCATTGTGTACAAGTTCACTTATTTCTGAGAAAAACGATTATTTTATTGATAAGAAATAATGAAATATATTTACACATGACTTTACATTTGATTTAAAATTAAAAAGGAGAAAATAGAACAGAAGAATGGATTGACATGTAGTACATTATACCAGTGATCACCATGCCAGTGTCTACCTTCTAAAGACCAATCCGCTCCAAAGAGAATGTCAAATGGCTCGGATGGCACTATGAAAATCAGTCTTGAGATGTAGCAGAATACTCAAAAAGTAGACGTTTAGAAGGAGCAGATTGCAGTAGAACACGAAGGCGACTTGTAAGCTGGTAGATTAGGGTAAACTGCATCGCCATCTCTGAGTCCTTCATTTGTCTAACAACAGAGGCCTGGAAAACAAACCAAGAAAGAAAGGAAGTGGTTGAAGCAGAATTGTATTATAGCATTACATAGAGATGATCGTGTTGATCGAATTTTCCATCAATAACTCATCTATGATTCCAAGATCCAAGATCAACAACAAACATGATCAGGGAACTCTCATCATGCAACCAGTACAGTGTAAACTATCTCCAAGAACATGATGGTAAATGTGAGGATCATATGATCAAGTTAATGTTATGCCCAAGAAATCCCTTGGAGGACATCAAACATATGAAATTTCTGGACAATCTTGGAAGTCCCAGACAAGGTTTAAAATGTCGATGTCAGTGCAAATGTTGGTCATCCAAATATAACATGTCAGAAATGTCGGAAATATTGTAAAAATTATAGACATGGTGGAAACATCGTAAAATATGCAAAACATAAAATGGTATTTTATTAAATGATAAAAGCATAGGCACACCTTTTTAAATTATTATCTTGTTCCAAATCACTAAATAAAGCTAAAAAACTAAGGTTATAGACAAAAGAATATGTTCTGAAGTTGCCCTGTAAACCATTCAGAGATTCATGATAGAATGAGTTAAAGCAAAATTTGAATTCATAGAAAATGTACATGGCTGTAATAGATCAACCAAAAAATCTACTACACAAACAAAAACTAATATTTAACTTCATGTTTGAAATGAATATTGAGCTAGCTCGAAGTTGTAATCATGTAAATTAGGTGGAGACTATATTACTTCACATGTCTACAATATTGTCACCAACTTATGTTATAATACTATCTCTTGTACTCCACATAGTACTAGTAGTATTCACTAGGGAATGTGTCGATTCTAGTAAAATTTCATGTAGCTACCCATGGAAGTGGAAATGAAAATATGTTGTGGAAATCATCTCTTGTACTCCACATAGTTCTGGTAGTGTTCATTGGGAAAATGTTGATTCCAGTAAAATTTTGTGTCGCTACCCATGGAAATGGAAATATTAGGGGAATTAGGGGCATTTTAAACCATGGTCCCAGATCTTAAAATCAAATTTCATGGTTTATTTTCTTTTGAAAAACTTATTGAATTGCATCAAACATGACCTAAGACAAGGATTTAAAAAATGAAAGACTTGCATCAAACATACCTGGAGGCGTTTTCCAAGCTGGACTTCAACTTCAGTAACAAAAATAGTATTTTGGAACAATTTGACTGGATCAACTGTAGGATCAGCAGAGAGCAAACTAGGGATCTGTGGTGCAGAGAGTACCCTCCACCTAGCCTGTCCAATTTCCCACTTTCCTTCTATTTTTGGCATTAGGCTTTCTAGTGTTGCAGCAGCAAGCTTATTAAATGCAAGTTGACCATCACCTTCCAAAATAGACTGTGCCAGTTGACTCTCAAAGACTCTAGCAGCCTGAGCAGATAGGATAAACAAAGATGTCAGTTCATTGCAAAACAATAAACAAAGATGTCAGTTCATTGCAAAACAATCCAATAACTTTAATTAGGATGTAGTATTATGCATAGGTTCTGTATGAAACTACACCAGAAATCTCAGTTAAGCTAAACACTGCAGAATATGATGAAAGTATACCTTGTAGGAGTTTTATAGACACATTCAAAGACTAGATATACATTCCTACCAAAAAAAGAGACTAGATTGACAAACATACTAGAAGAAAACTGCACAAATAAATTTAGTACCTCAGTAGGTGAGAGGACGTCTTGTTCAACAGAGCGTGTTGAGGTCACTACCAAATTATCCTGCCAATTACTGGCTCTACTCTGGATCCTGAATTGCCATTCTGAACCAACCAAAGCTAGGTCTAGAATAGGGTCTAGCCCCAGATCAGGCTCAAATTTTGCTACATTTAGATGCTCCCGTTTAAGTCTAACCTGAAATTAAAAATAGAAAAGTCTAATCAAAGCATGCAAACTTTGAATTACAAGAGAACAAATAGAAAACATCAAATTCACCTCACCTGTGTAGCTACAAGGTTGACATCACCATTCTCAAATGTTAAAATTCCTTTAGGTTTTATCCATTTAGGATGAGCCATGCCATTTAGCTCAACTTCTCCACTAACGGCAAAGTTCAAAATCAAAGGATATACTATCCTCAACTCCGGTCCAAGTAGAAGTTTCAGGTCATTGAGGCGAACATCAAATTTTGGCTTGCTTGTTGCATCCTCCATTTCCTTTTCAACTTCAGCTTGTTTACTTGTAACTGCTCAATACAAGTCACTGATTTGTTAGATGCTCTGAATTGGTAGCTAGATGAGGATAAATACATTGAGGTCCATTTTAGAAGCTTGCCAAGAAAAATGAATGGATCCTGCAGCCCAGTGTTTGAGTTGCAAGGCAAAATTGTAATTTATTCAGGTTGTGTCTCCACATATTTCAAATACCAGATAGTGATCCATTGGATCCAAAGCCATTTGGGCATTTATCATAATATTTAAGTCATTGGAATGATGAAATCCCCTATACACTACATAACTTCAGCCTAGCATTTACGCTCATATCCATCAGTTAAATTATTGAATAATAAAACTGCACCAGTTTCATGAACAATTTACATAAGGACCATTAACAACTATGCACGATGACTTTAGTTGACTGCCACTCTCACATGGCAAAGATTTGAATTCTACCATGTTTTTAATATTAAGGTAAGAAGTTACTATCACACTCAGGTTGACTAAAAAGTTCAACAACAGCATTTCAGGACCACCCCCTCCCTATCCCAAAGGCTTTGGAATTCCTTGTGCAGAAGCTTAGAGTGGTTCTTCAAGAGGCTCCTACTTGTCCACGAGCTTGGGTCTCCCACTCACAACGATCCTACCTGCACCTGCTCACAGGACACTACAGCTGTATATTGAGAACATTTTCCGCATTTACATGTTACCATTCATAGGGAGATGTTCCTAATGTACAGCTGTAGTGTCCTGTGGGTAGGAGATCTAGATGGCTTGCCCACATTTCATGACCTCAGTACTAAATTTTAGTAAAATAGCCCTCTGTGACATGCTAAAAGGAACTATCCTTTCTCTTTACTTTTTTATAAGAATCAAAATCTTGAAGGCTGCAATTAATGGGGTAGGGAGTATGAGTCTGAATGGATGTGATTACTTTGCATGTGACCAGTGTCAGATGAGTTGTGCCAAGAGGGTCCCTACACCTGTTACTCAAAACCCTTTTGCTTCCCACTGTATCTAGAATCATACATTACCTGATGGTTGAGTAAATTTGGTGCTTGAAGTAGGTTCTGAACTGAAAAACTGTGAAACATGTCTAGAAGCAGCCATTCGGTTGTAAGTGCTACTTGGGAAACTTGAGCGGGTTGATGTCAATCTATTCATACCAGCAGCTCCACTACCCTTATCATGAGGTAAATATGCTTCTCCATGGCTCAATTTAATCATTCCAGAAATATTTGGTTGCAAGATCGAACCAGTTATTTGTATCTGGCTGTCAACCTGACCACTGTGATTTAAGACAAGTTAGATGGTTCTCTCTTTCCCATGCACACACATGCACATTCATTGCATATTACAATAAATGTGGAAAACATGTTTTCAAAGAAAAGGAAACATCATAATATCAGCAACTTGTGCACAAAATGTTTTCAAAGAAAGAAACCATACCTTAAGATATTTTTTGCCCGTACTTCCAAAACTTCACATTTCAAATCAATTCTATCACCAGGGAATGATTCACTAGTTCTAAGTGGCAAATTTCCTCTTATAGTTACCTTTCCCCTTCTGCTAACTCTGCTTTCCAAGGAACTTATGCACAATCTATTAGATTTCACATGAACTGTACCCCCAAAGTTCGTAAGTGGTTTTCTTAGTACAGGTGAGGTTACAGATGCCCTGTGGAATGATGCATAGCCATCAAGAACTGGCTGTTCAACTGTACCTCTGACCTATTTTCAAAAAGATCACAAATCTCAAAATAGTAAATCTGATCAACCACATAAACTCACTCTAATATCTTATGTACTAAATTTTAAAAATGTGGCAAACTAAGCACATCAAAGAACTTTCATCAACTTGACCTACCTGGAGCATAATATCAGCATTGCCATGAAGCCATTTGGCATAGGGACACAAAGCTGTTAACAGCATCATACCCCCATCTTTAATATCTGCATCAACCCTAACATCTCCAACATCTAATATGTTCCAGTTTAAACCTTTGAGGCTTTCTGCCAGCTGAACATCCCAACCTTCTTCATTTCTATCTCTAGAGGCCTTTTTTTCATTGATTTCATCACCAGAACTTTTTACCTTTTCCTTTGCCCAACCAGGTACCCAAACTGATCTGTCTTTATCCATTTCTTTCTCTTCTTCCAACATGTTGTTTTGAATAGAAGCTACAGGAACACTTCCTTGAATATGTACATGACCACTTTGGATAATAGGCTCAAAGTTGGCATTGAAAAGAAAACGACTGGTTGAGGTTAGGGAAGCAACAATTTCAGCTCGTCCAAGATCTATACCACCAACAGCACCATCAAGGAGCCTTACTTGTACATCACATTCTGGCTTTGCAAGATTTCCTCTAAGATCCCCTTCCATGTGTAATATACCTTTAATGGGTGTCAAGAATTGTCGCAAAGAATGTATAGCATCAGAAGCTGAAGATTCTATAACCTGAACCAGAGTGGGGACAAGATCAACAGGGAAATTCAGGACAGCAAAATGAAGGTTAGTTTTTGGCCCAAATAAAGTTCCATCCGCATGGATAGTGGCATTATCTCTTTGGATAAACATTTTCTCAAGGCGTAGACCATCATCGTTGCTATATGCACCAACTGCTAGAACACGTTGAGTTTTGTATGTTCCCCACTCCCAATCTTCTCCATGAAAGTCAAAATCTGCCTGAGAAACATAGATATTAGGCCAAATTTAGTCAATTAACAAAGGAAATAAAGAACCTGAGAAAAGAAAGGCAAGAAAAAGGTATTGATGAAATCTCTTCTTAATCTATAAATGATGCAGTAATTTTATCTTATAGGAAGACATCAAAAAAGCAATGTTCAAATATTCCTTCACAAACCCACAAATCTAAGCATTTGCCATGTGTATTATTTCACAAAACACACTCTTATCAGAATCCAAGAAGTTTGTCTTAAGGTAAAGAAGAATGTTCAAGAGTCCATGTTTAGGTCGCTGGCAACATTTAGGATGTTGAATGAGCTGAGTCTTTATTAATGGAGTACTCATTTAGAAAATTGAGAGTTTTTTTTTCCATATATTCTGTATTGGAAATCCAATGTGTAAGCAGACAGCCCTGGATTTCTTTTTTATCATAAGTCTTGGGGCTTTGTTATTTTTACATCCATGCTTTAGATTAATACAATGCTCCTTCCAGTTACAGATAAAAAGAAAACAAAATAATTATAAGTCAAAACATGACATTCTTTCCGCATTGGTAACTGTCAAAATTATGTTGATTGCAAAATAAAGAATTAAGTATATACAGAAAATTGCAAAACACCTCTTCTTTGTTAGGTTAACGTCTGCCACCCAACCCCCTTTCGTTTCAATTAATGACAAACATTATGAAATAGCCAACCAGAAAAGCTGATTCCTAGTCAGTATTCACTGTTGTTTGGCCATTGTGTTGGCCAAACTGTTTGCTGATCTTTGGATCCATCTGAAGATAACTTTCAGTTCCCTCATAATATGTCTATATTGTCATAAATATTGACTATTGTTCTTTAGCCATCACACTGCTACAGTACTTCTCAGGAGTTTCCTTCCACCATTATATTTCTGAAATTGAGAGATATGCCCAATTTCAACCCCTGTTGGACAGCTCATAGTTCAGCTCTTGTTGAGCAACCAACATCTATTCGTTAAAATCTAACATTGTTAATTAGTTGAAAGTTTGAAGCAAATAGTGCTTCAAATAGTTGAAAATTTAAACTGTTTTTGCATCAGGAAGATACATCGTATCTAATCCTCTAAATTACTTGCCTCAGACAGTCATCAGGATGAAGGAGAAGCCATCACCTGTATGTTGGAGGCAGTTAGTGGGTTTGGATGATGCTTGCATTGCTATAGATAACAAATTGTGTTGATGATGAAGAATGTGGGATCAAGAATGACACCTTGTCGAAACCAACTTCTCCTGAGAGGTTGACAAAATATAAACTCAGGAGGTTGGTTAGGACTGGGGAATTTAATCATAATAAAGATAAGGACACAGTCAATTTAAGGAACTGTTGGGCTATGCGAGAAGCTGGGAGTATCTTTGTAATGGGACATAATCAAGCAGTTGAATATTCCAATAAGTTTCAGTAACTGGATCATTGTAATTGAGAAGAAAAGTTTACCATTAGAGATGAAAGGTTTAGTTATGAGGATGATGTAGAGAGGATTGACAGCAAGCAAGTGGTTTGGCACTCCTTCAACCTAGTGATCCTGCTTAAAATAGAAATGGAATAGACAAGGCAGATCTACTTGTTGATGACTACCATTCTAAGAGTATCTGCCATGGTTTTGTCCCTCCCTCTCTCTTACTCTCTCCCTCTAAGATTTTAGTGATGAAGGGGTAATCCTTGATTTGAGTTCATGACATGTTTGACTCTAGAGTTCACAATATTAAACAAAGATGCATCCTAAATCAAGTGTGATTCTTTGAATGGTTTGGAGTAAAAAAAAAATAAAAAAAAGAAAGAAAAACATAGTGCATAAGCAAATTTCTATTGTCTGGTTATAAATTTATAATTTTAGTTTGGTATAACCAAACATTTTATCTATGTTTTGGAATAAGGAAATCCAATAACAGCACCTTCATTACCTAAAGCACACCAGGTCAAAACACTAATGCTGAAAAAAAAAATGAAAGGTCAAAACCTATGATACCCAAATACTTCTATGTGCCAAGTGTACTGGTGAAGGACACAGTAAAAAATATTTTGTGTATATCTATTGTATAAGCTTATTTTGATTTAATAAAAGTTATTTTATTACTGATCAAAAGGGGAAAAAATAAAATCAAAGGTGATGTTTTTATTGCCCCCACCCCTAGCATAAATGCTTTTATCCTACACAAGAGATGCAATTGTTTACCATTGTGTCTCCATTGCCCCCACCACTAGCATCAAGAGAGCCATTCCAGCGACCTTTAAGTTCAGCTAAACCTGGAAGAGTTATCTCTTCAAGAATCACTTCATCTGATGGAGCATAATGTCCCCGTACTACCTGTAGATACACCTATTTTATTTTCAAAGCAAAACAACTCAAAGACAAACTGAAACAAAATGATTCATAGAATGTTTCTAGTACAGTTCAAATATCAACATGAGGGCAAATAACAAAGTACTTCTGCATAAGCAAAACAGTGTATAATTTACTTTTGACATGAAATACCTCAAGCAGATCTCGAAGACTTTCAGCATACAATCCTACAGACTGCAAACTTTGTATAAAAAGATCCTGCAATGAAGTGACAGCACAACAGACAGAATCAAAATTTGTAGCATGCTAAAAGAAAAAAAAGTGCATTCTTTCTTTGAGACACTGAAGAATACATAGTAGAATATTGAAACCGGCAGCTTTAAACAAGACAACAACCAAATTTTGTATAACAAGCAGTGAGGCATCCACTACAACCTGGGAAACCAGGGTTCAGATCTTAGAAACAGCCTCTCTGCATATCTGCAGGGGTAAGGTTGCATACATCTGTCCCTCTGCAGACCCCGCATTTACAGGAGTCTCATGCACTGGGCTGCCCTTATTTTAAGCAGTTAGGTTTTGTAAGATGTAAAAATAATACGCAACATAGTTGATCATGATGCCAAAATTTGGATTTCATACCATACAACATCATGAAAGGGAAGACTATATCTGTTTATTTTAAACCATGATGAAAGATTAGAAAACTAAAAAAACAGCCTACTTAGTTTCAAATCAAAGGATGTATGCATGTATAAAATGGCAACAGCAATACTCACAATCAACTATTTAGAACAAGAGAAACCAACATCATAATAAATTGTCCATGATGATCATGATGATGCTATGCACCGACCATGAAGCATAAGAGTTGAGATAACCTCTCTGGAGTGCTATTATCATTATTATTATTTTTTACCATGGGTTTTGGGATATTCCTGTATATTTGTGGCTTCTAGGCCTCTGTCAAGTTGGAGGAAGAGGGGTAGTTATCTTTTATCCTTTGCACTTACTTCATTCTACAATTTGTGAACTTTTTGTTTTGATACAAAGTATATTGGTACCCATGCACCAACTACATTTTACTTTAAACAGATAGGTCATCAAATCAATGCAAATTTTTGGAAAGGATCCAAACCAAGACCTTAAAAAATCACTTTCGTGTATTGGACATGTTCATCTGAACTTGTATTTCAACACATTCATTTTCATCTGGGTAGATATTATGCCAATTGGATTTGTAGAAGCTGTTTGGGAAGCAATAGTTTTAATTGCCATTGTTGTTCCGATTTTTTTCTTTATTCCCATTTTCATCTGGTCAAATTTTTTTTTTCCCCTTAAACTACATTGTAAAACTGGATATGCATGTTTAAACCCTGCAGAGCCTGAATTTCGAGATTCTCAAGCAGGAATTTGTAGTGCACATTTATAATCATAGAATTAATAATATTTTTCACATCACAATACTATTGTAATGGTGGTTTCAGAATATTGAGTTTCCAAGTGTCCATTTTGGACTGTCTTATTTGTACAAGGTTCCATGCGTTGGCTTCTATTACATAATAAAATACTTTCTATGAACTGTAGTTAATCAAAACCTTTGATCTGGAGCGAACAGCAGGATCTGTACTTCGAGAAAGAAGTCGTAAAAGGGGAAGCATTTCAGCAACTTCAGCTCTAGGGACTTCAAGCCTCATCCGCCACCTTCCCATGGAAGATATCACGCTACCCAATTGCCCAGCCATTGCCCTCTTCAACAAGCCACTCCTCTCTTTACCTGTTGGGTGTCGATCCCGTGTGCCAGGCAACACGTATTCACCTTGAAGTTCATATCGACTATTGTTCTGCTCCAAAACTGTCTTTTCAACAGTAATCTGCAGCACATTTTAAATATAATATCCCAGGTAAACAGGAGCACAATTTCATTTACTAGCATTGCAAAACAATCATCAACTAAAACAAACCTAAAGCTAACAGATAAGGATATAAGAACCATAAAGGTTATTTTCTTTTTCCATAACAAATTATAAGAGGGAAACAGAGTTAGTTTTAAGTTTATGTGGATCACAAAAGAACTTAGATGGTACTAGGTATATTTTAGTTTTCCTTGCTTTTGACGATCACTGTGTTTCCCTGATTTCCTAGAGGGTGAAGGGAGTGTACCTTACTCTTTTCCTCTTAGGCCTCATTTGCATCTTAGTAAGTCATTTACTTGGATAAATGCACTTATCTAGGCAACTGTTTCCTAGGAAACACTTACCAGGATAAGTGCATTGACCAGTGTTCTTTTATCCCCAAGTAAAGTTGTACAATGACTGTTTTATCCAAAAAGTGACTATTGAAAGGACAATATTGTCTCATAATGTATTAGCAAGTTTCTGTGCAGAAGGGTAAGTGATTTACCTAACTTTCAAGAGGGCATTACTTGCCCAGGTAAATGAGCTGCTTGGTAATCGTTCTTTTCTGTGAGACCCACTAATACCAAAATATGAAGACAGGATTATTTCTTTTCCATGGGACCCACCAACTTACCCACCGCCACCCAAAAAACAAGTGAGGCCTTAGTGCCAGGGACGGGGTATAAGGTGCCTTCTACACATGATGGAGTTGGATACTATAGAAGTAATTTGGGCTGTTAATGGGTTAAATCAACCCGAAAGACCCAAACCAAATTGTCCCAATTATATAGTCTGGGTCCGTATTATGTGTCCAGATTATAATTGGGTCAAGAATAGTCTTGGTTGTTCAAAACCGTTTAAGACCCAGATTGATAATTGTACATATGATAACACCAATGCTATCAAGGTTGCCTCAAATCCATTTTTTTTTTCACAAAAGAGCTAAACATATTGAAGTGGATTGTCACTTTATTAGAGACCTATTTCTTGTTGGTTCTATTTCACTTCCTCATGTGGCCTCAGATATGCATATTGTTGACACAATTACTAAGGCTATCATGGGAGCAAGACATCTCTTTCTTGCGAGCAAACTAATGCTTATGACTTCACAACAATTTGAGGGGGAGTGTAGAGAGTATTGATGTATTCCATTATAATAGTCCTATTGTATTGTATTTTATTCTTTTATTTGCAATTATGCATAATATAATAAAGGCTCTTTGGGGGTGGGGATCGATTCATTCATTTTGACACCCTTGAAACCTTGTGTTAGATTCTCTTCAATTCATTCATTTTGATACCCAAATCCTTCATATGGAACAAACTATGAAGAAGGGATTTAAGTTCTTTAATTGCCTCTTCATCATCCCCAGTCAACAACATATCATCAATGTACAAGAGGAGGATTGTGATGCCTTGAGATCTTCTACGAACAAAGAGAGAATAATCAGAAAAACTCTGGCTATAACCGGTAGCAACAAAGATATCACTGAATTTTTTGAACCAAGTTTGGGAGCCTGTTTTAGACCATATAAAAACTTCTTCAATCTATAGACAAGAGAGGGGTCACTACAATACCTAGGATGTTTCATATACATTGTCACCTTTAGCTGGCCATGAAGAATAGCATTCTTCACATTCGATTGATAATAGGAATGGCAACGGGGTGGAGGTCATATTCCCCATCCCTGACCCCAATTCTGAAATTAATCCTCGTCCCTGTCCCCAATCCCTGATGGGGATAAAGTTTGTCCTCCATCCCTGATCCTTAACAGGGACGGGTTGCCCACGAGGATCCGAATCCTTGGAATTTTTTAGATAACAGTATTTTTTGAAAAACAAATTTACTTACAATAGAAAGAGGTGGGGACCACATCAGTGGTTTCTACACTCCCCCTCAAGTTGGGAATTATATTTATCATTCCCAACTTGCATAGATCTGCTTCTAACTTCTTCTTTGAAACTGCCTTGGTGAGAAGATCAACAAGCTGCATGTTGGAGTTGATATATGGAAGACAGACTTCTTGAGATGCAACCCTTTCCCTAATAAAATGTCGATCGATTTCAATGTGCTTAGTTCTATCATGTTGTACCGGGTTATGAGCTATATTAATAGTAGCTTGATTATCACAATACAACATTAGAAGTTTCTCATAGGTAATACCCAATTCATCAAATAGTGATTTCAACAATAGTATTTCAGCCACACCATTTTCCATGGACCGATATTCAGCTTCAGCACTGAAACGAGAAACAACATTTTGTTTCTTACTCCCCAAGAAACAAGGTTACCTCCTACAAAGGCACAATATCCAGAGGTAGACCTTCTATCATCAACACAACCGGCCCAATCTGCATCTGTGTAAACTTCTATCTTCATGTGATTATTATCCTTAAATAGTCCACCTCTGCCTGGACACCTCTTTAAATATGCCAATATCCTCTCAACAGCAAGTAGGTGGGTAGTTCTAGGAGAGTGCATATACTAACTAACAACATTGATGGCATAACTGATGTTTGGTCGTGTAAGACAAAGATATAGTAGTTTACCAACTAATCTTTGGAACATAGCTTTATCTTCAAGAGGCTCTCCACCTTCTGCACTAATCTTGTGATTCTGTTCAATAGGTGTATCAGCTGGCTTAACACCCAACTTTCCTGTTTCTTCTAACAAATCAAGGACATACTTCCTTTGAGAAACAAAGATTCCATGCTTGGACCGAGCTACCTCAATACCCAAGAAATATCGTAGCTCTCCCAGGTCCTTTACCTCAAATTCTTGATGGAGAAGTTTCTTAAGAGACTCAATTTCGTTGTTATCACTCCCTGTTACTACAATGTCATCCACATATACAACAAGTAGAGTCAAGGAAGTATCCACTTTCTTAATAAACAAAGTGTGATCTGATTGAGCCTGCACATAGCCAAACTTTTCAAGGACTTGTCTGAATCTATCAAACCAAGCTCTAGGGGACTGTTTTAGTCCATACAAAGCTTTATTCAACCGACATATCTTCTTACCTATCTCTGTACTATAAAAGCCAGGAGGTAGCTGCATGTACACTTCTTCTTGTAAGTTTCCATTGAGGAAGGCATTTTTAACATCCATTTGGAACAAGGGCCAAGAGTAATCGGCTGCAAGAGATAATAACACTCTGATGGTGGTCATTTTTGCTACTGGTGCAAAAATCTCCAAGTAATCTATACCATAAGTCTGAGTAAATCCCTTTGCAACTAACCGGGCCTTACACCTTTCAATGGAACCATCAACATTATGTTTCACAGTAAACACACATCTACATCCAACTGGTTTCTTCCCTTTGGGTTGATCAACTAGCTCCTAGGTATTGTTTCTTAGAAGGGCATCCATTTCTACCTTCATTGCATCTTTCCATTCAAGAATGGTCAGGGCTTCCTGTACTGTTCTGGGAATGGGAATATCAGCAATTGATGCAAGAAAGGACTTATAAGAGGGAGACAGATGATCATAGGACAAGAATTGTGAGATACAATGGGCTATGGATGAGGTGCAATGGCGTTTGCCTTTATGGACTGCAATGGGAAGGTCAAGGTCATTCAATGGAAGTGAGGGCTCAGAAGATGGAGAAGGCTCAACAGCAGAAGGCTCATCTGTAATGGGAGCTGGAAGAGATGTAGTACCTGGATTTGGATCTTCAGAAGGAATTGGGGCTGGCCTGGACTGCTGATGACCGAAATCAACCTGCCTCCATCGTTTGTGATAAACTCTCAAATCCTGACATTTTTGACAACCTTCCCCATTACACTCCTCTTCACTCAATGGAACAGGTAAAGGGACTTCTGATGTGTTAACCCCAACCGTACTACTCTCCCCTTGAGAAGAAACCCTAGAGTAATAAGGTACATCCTCAAAGAAAGTAACATCCATGGATACAAATCTTTTTCCTAGTAGCAATATCCCTTTTGAGTTTGTGCATAACCAAGGAAAATACATTTTGAGGCTTTAGGGTCAAATTTGGAATAGCGAGGGCCAAGAGTTTGCACAAAGCAAGCACAACCAAAGGTTTTAAGGGGGATAGAAAACAACTCTTTATCAGGATATAAAAGAGTGAATGGGGGTTTCATGTCAAGAACCCGTGAAGGAATTCAGTTGATGAGATACACAGCTATGAGAATGGCATCTCCCCAGAAATGTATAGGCACATTGGAGTTGAATATGATACTTCTAGCTACTTCCAATATGTGCCTATTTTTTCTCTCAGCCACCCCATTCTGTTGAGGGGTATGAGGGCAGGTACTCTGATGAATGATCCCATGATCAAGAAAGTAAGAGGCTAGTGATGTTCTAAAAATACTCTCTCGCATCATCGAATCTAAAAATTTTGATTTTTACCCCAAACTGGGTTAAAATCATCTGATGAAAGGTCTGGGTTAGGATAGAGACCTCATCTCGAGAACGCATTAAGTATACCCAAGAAAACTGGGTGTAGTCATCAACAAACAACAAGAAATATCTATATCCCCCCATAGAAGTGATGTGATATGGTCCCCAAACATCGGTATGCACAATGTCAAAAGGAACACTACTTCTCTTATTACTTAATGAATAGGTTGTTCTACAATGCTTTGCAAGCTCACAACTTCCACACTTTAAACTGGACATCTGGATAGATTCAAATAAACTAGGAAACAAGCTTTTCAAAGACCTAAGGGATAAATGACCCAATCGGTTATGCCAAAGCATGACTTGACCAATAGACTGAGAATCAAAAGACCCTCTAACTTCACTACCGTCCCACTGTGAACTTCCTCCAAGCAAATAGATTCCATATGTCTCACAGCCAATCCCAATCACCTTCCTTGTCTCCAAGAAAAACACATCGATCAGGAAAAAGGTTACTGAGCAAATTGGTGCTCAGTAACTTGGTGCTAAGTTACTTGATGTCACTAGACAACTTGATGTCTCCCTTGCCAAAAATGGGAACAAGTGATCCATC